TGTACCCTATGCTTAGGCAGAGAGATTCAAGTCAAGTAGAGGCGCACCTGAAGCTCGAAGAAAAGTGGCGCCCCTAGCTATCGTAGAAGAGCGCACTAAAGCATACAAGTGTGGCGCCCCGGCCGAAATAAAGGAGCACGCCCTATTCAGTATTTAGCTAGAAGCACCGAGACCAATTCAGGGATGCATATACGAGGGTACTGGGGTCTCCCCCGCCCCCTTCTGCTCAGAGAAGAGGTTAACGCTTTTACACCAGATGCTTTTCAATTTCGCAGTAATTCGGTCCAAGCTCGAAGATTTCGTAGAAGAAATTGGCATTTGCTCCCCCGGGAGGGAGATTTTGACCACGTGTCTGACCCGATTACAGGTAGAGTGACAACTATCATTGAGCAATGCTAGCAGTTTGTAGTTAGTGTCTTTCGGCTTCGTTACCGCTTCGTTTGGTTAGTGTCAGCTGGTTTCAAGTCGGTGTATCTTCCGGCTGCCGAAATCTAACATTAGTACTTAAGATGCCTATAACCGGTAGATTGACGATGCACGCTCGAGTGGACGTGGCCTGCTGCCCGCAGCTTAAAATGCCTATAACCGGTAGATTGACGATTCACGCTCGAGTGGACGTGGCCCGCTGCACGCAGCTAAGCGCATTATTGCTCATGCATTTTGCCGTTACTTTCTCAGTCAAATCGTACTGGCCCCGTTTTGATGCGAGTCCGGGCTATCGACGCCTAGGTCACACCTAGGTCACGCCTAGGTCTAGATCTAGGACGCCTAGGTCTACGCGGACCCCATGCACAGAGCCGTGATCAGTGTGGGCTGAGATAGCGAACAGCCTGACAGTTGGGCCGCTCCAGCTGATAACTTCTCAGTCAGGACACACTTACTTGACCTATAGTCCACCAATATTTCCACGGCTTCGCTCGCATAAAAAGACAAGTAGTCTGCAGACAAAGCTCTGACGTGCGCGTATTTGCGAGAGGACGAAAATCGCATTTGTCACTTATTGATCGACTTAGAGCTGATCAGTTTAAACATCTTGTTGGCCTGTAAGAACACATAAAAGTGCACGAAGCCATGGACAAATGAATCCAGCGGATATAAGGCGCCAACGTTCAGAAGACCACTGCACTATTTGGTACCACGTCTTGCATCTGGGTTCATCGCTCCTGAGACGCGACCACCAAATTAAAAGCGATGGACGTGGGTCTGAATTGCACGTTGCCGCCAGCATACCTCCCACTGAGGTAAGTATTGGTGGATTGGCACCAGGGGTGTAGCTTCTTATCCAGTTAGTGGGGAGCGGGGCGGGGGTGGATGGATCAGCCCCAACTTGGGCACCAGCACCTACCACCCCCCCCCCTCCCCACCCCGCATTTGAGAAAAAGTGGGCAAAACCGGGAGAAACCCTTTTGTTGGCGTCATTTGGGGGTAGAATGCATCATTTGTAATTTTTCACTGATAAGCCCCAAACCATATTGCGAAACTACATCTCTCATTATCAGTGTTTTCCACCGTGATTGGTGGGACTCAGCAGCTGTATTATATGTTAATCTCAAATCTTTAGATAGCAGTTGACCATTGATTCGTCCAGTCGCCATCGATATTGATATAAGGATATGTCATCGGAAGTGATAGAGCTCGGGCCCAAGTTGACTAAAAGTTGACTTAAATTGGCTGAAACCTGAAAGTAATGGAGTGTTTACTGTGCAGCATAGGTTTCATCACGACGTATAAAGCTTTCTAATGCGAGCGATGTTATCAATTGAATGCACTGTGATACGAAGCTGGTGCCAGCTTCGATCAGTGTTTGATTTCATTACGTTCTATGGTCCATTTCGTCTTTTTTCTACTTTTTCCCCCCTTTGATTTCATGTTAGCTCGGACTTCGTGGGATTCTGACCGTGGGCAGGGGTGTATTTCCTTTCCATTTGGACAGCTTCAGCTAAGGGGCGTTCTTTCGCTAAATGAGTTTGGGAGAAGGGGACGCTGAACAGTGATCAATTACTCAAATTACCTAAAATTAACTAACAAACGGACTTACTCCGGATTTGGCCCTCTTTCCAAAGTCGGGGGAGGGGGACTGAGGCCTCAACTTGTCTGCTGAGCAAGTGGGACTCATCCAGAGAGAAACCCGTCTACTGACGCATTGTGGAGGTAGGCTGAGTTATTGCTCGCTGTTCAACCCCAAATCGCCCTCAATTAATTTTCCGAAACCACACCCCCCACTCCTGGGTAACCTGAGTGGTAACCTGAGTAGGGTGAGCCCTGTAGGGCTACCAGTAACCCTTCTCAGGTTACAGAGCTGAACATCGTGTACCTTGTAATTACGTAACTCGTACGCATGCATGTGGCTTTAATATGGATACGCCTTATTAACAAAAAAACGAATGTATAGTTAAGAATATTTTAATGGATAGAGTGGGATAAAATAGTTGAAAGGAATGGTACATTAGCTTAGGAAGCCCGAAGCTAACAACGCCGTCCAGCGGTCTTCACCGACAAGAAAGCGAAGCAGCGCAGCAGCGGACGTGCATTGCGCAGGCGCAGGGTTTGTGTCAGCTTACCTTGATGTCTCGTTGCAGGATATCCGACGGCCATTTCGTCCCTCGATTTGTTGTTCAACTTGTTGTGTTCGACTAGCACCGAATGATAATGCAGACTATTGTCCCTCCGCGAAAAAGTTGTTATGCCTCATTGGTATGCCTGGCACGCGGCGTCCTTCCTGGTCGCCGCATGCGACTGTCATAATTTAGAAATCCTTGGCACGTGCGCGTGCACCTGAAAATGGTGTCGAGTCACTACGGTGTCGCAACGTGCTCCCCAGGTCTGAGGTGCGGATGATGGGCTGGAACACGCCGCCCGAGTATCTCTCGCACGTGGACCCGCACTGGCTGACGTTTCCGGCGCCCGAGCCGGTGGCGCACCACGTCCTCGGAGTCATCTACATCCTCTTCCATACCGTCTCCGTGCTCGGCAACGGCAGCGTTCTCTGGATCTTCCTGACCACCAAACACCTGAGGACGCCGTCAAACATGCTCATCGTCAACCTGGCCTTCATGGACTTCTTCATGATGCTCAAGACGCCCATCATGATCTACAACAGTTTTCCAACAAGGTCCGGCGCTCGGCTGGGTGGGCTGTGCCGTTTTCGCCGCGATCGGTACAATCTCCGGTGCAGGCTCGTCCTGCGCCAACGCGCTGATCGCCTTCGACCGCTACCGCAAGATCTCCGACCCCATGGACGTCACCTTCAAAATGACCATGGGAACGGCGCTGGGGCTGGTCCTGCTGATGTGGCTGTACATTGCTCCGTGGGTGGTGCTGCCGCTGCTGGAGAAGTTCAGCCGCTTCACAGCCGGAGGGCTTCCTCACCACCTGCGGCATCGATTACCTCTCCGACACGTGGGACACCAAGGCTTACATCTTCGGCATCTTCTGCGCCATGTACGTCTTACCCGTGACGTGCATCGTCAACTTCTACTACCGCATCTTTGTGCAGGTATCCGACCACGAAGGCAAAATGCAGGCGCAGTCAGCGCAGATGAACGTCAAGACGATCCGCGCCGGTGCAAGTGAGATGCGTCAGGAGCTGCGCGTGGCGAAGGTGGGCGTGATGCTCACCTCGCTCTACCTCTTCGCCTGGACGCCGTACGCTGTCGTCGCTTTCATGGGCGCGTTCGGCGCCAAGGCGCACCTGACGCCGCTGATCTCCATGATCCCAGCCTGCACGTGCAAGCTGGCCGCCTGCCTGGACCCGTTCGCATACGCCATCAGCCACCCGGCGTACCGGCGAGAGCTTGTGCGCCGCTGGCCGTGCCTCACCGAGCGCGAGGCGGCGCCCAGCGCCTCGCACGACGCCGCCTCGGCCGCCGGCGAGCCGGCCGTGGCGGAGGCCGACCCGCCAGCTCAGCCGCAGACCTGAGAGGGCCGGCCGCGGCCCCAGCGCGGCCGCGCGCGAGGCCCTAAACCCGAGCTGGGCGAGGCGAGCCTCCGGCCTGTCAGGCCCAACTGCAGGCCTGGGCTTGGGCTGCCGACAGGATGGCCTCGACTCTTCAGTCGTAGCTGTCAAGCCGGGTGATGGTTACCGCTGCAGGTATCGTACCGATAGCGTCGGCACTTCGAGGGGAGCAGTCAGGATTTTCTTAAGGGGAAAGAGAGGGGGGGGGGGGGGTTGGAGCTCATTAAGTACCCAGGACGCCGATTTTGAACCTCCTGTCCGAAGCTATCTATAGCGAAAAACGAGAAAAAGGTCGAGCCAAAATCCGGGTCAGGGGATTTTGTCTTCCCTTCCCCCTCCCCTTTCCCCTTTGTCTGCGCCCATGGGCTCTTGTGGAAGCGGAAAGATATGCTTGCTGCAGTGAGAGCGCAACCCAACGGCCTGTTCATAACACCACGTCTCCACCACTCAATCCAAACCCCTCGGATCTCAGCAGAAAACCAGGTAGAATACGATAAACACAATACAACTATTGACGTAGAAGTGCATTGGAAATTTTTAAGCAATCATGTCCATGTATTCACACGGTTCTTGCTACCAGGAGCGTCCGTGTGGGTTGCATATAGACATTTGTAGGACCATGCTGAGGACCTACAAGCTAACGGCCCTCCGGGGGGGTTGGGGGGCTTTAGGGCGCGTCGACCGCTGTAGGTCATGCAACATAACGGCCCTCCGAATGCATGCTTCCCAGCTGATTCAGGCCGTTTGACGTTGAATGCATACACTGAAAATATTGTGATTGACAAAACATTATTTGGGGCGAAATCCACATTGCATCAGGGGCGGGGCCCTCCGAAATATTTATAGATCGACGACTCTGCTTTCTTCTGAGCGGTGTAGCTCCCCTTCAAAATCTTCAAACGGTATCTGAAATCCGCTTCGAACTTCAAACACGGCGAAACAAAAGTTGCAGCTAAAGTCCGGTCGGTTGCAACGAGGTCTGTATTATTTCCAGCACAGCAGTGCCTATAAAAATGGCATATTAGCCGCTGCGAACGGCGCAGTGAGTCACTGCAGTGGTCCTCGACAACTTACCAGACGGAAGCGACAGTCGCGTTGTTATTGAACGCCTTCGTCACGGGACTTCCACAACTTGTTGCTCATTGATGTTTTCGGGCGCGTCGACGGCAGTGGTCACTTTGCGCCAAAAACTTTCACAACTACTGCATACATGTTTACATAACGTTCTCCCAATAAATGCTAGGTCACCAACCTAGTCTACAAACAACTGCGAACACTGTTTATGGCTTGGGCGGACGGGAACTTGTACGACCGTGGCATGGGGTGGAAGGAACAATTTTCGAAACGTCATACTGCTCGCATTAACATCAGCAGGTCGTCAAATAAACACAGTGACAAGCACGACCTAGTCAAGTCCTGGCAATGAGCTCAGCGGACCGAACTATCCTGTCCCGTCAGCGGCCGCCTCGGCAACATCCAACAGCGGCCGCCACACCACGTCACGTGACAGTTTCCCGCGCGCGGGCGGGCGGCGTCCGTCACGGTCTCCCGGTGACGAGCCGGGCCTGTGGGCGGCGCCGCGTCCAATCGGGGGAATCCGGGTATAACAACCCGATTAGGCTGCCGAAGCTGTGAACTCCTTGCGCTCCGGGCAATGACAAGGTAAAAACGCGCGATCCAGACTGATGGGCGTGGAGCTGCAGCCGGTGGGCGGCGCCGCGTCCACCGCGAGGTCAGCCCAGCGCGGAACAGCTCCCCTCACAACAGCCACGTCAGCCCAGCCGACGGCAGGCGGACGGCTGGTCGGACTCGACCCGGCGGTGGGATTCGGGCCGACGCGCGCGTGGCCGACGGCGCCGCACGCACGAGAGCTGCCGTTAGCCGAGCAGCCGAGCTGCTACCGCCACCACCGCCACCAGGCACAGCGCCGGCCGTCGAGCGATGGCCGAGCTCCTGCAGCAGACGGAGGCGTGGCTAGAGATGAAGCGAAACTGGTGGACGTGGACGCCACTCCACCAATGTAGACGCCCTCAGTATAGCGGCACGGCAGCACCTTTCTGCCGGTCCTACACTGCACTGATGACGTTCTGAAAATTTAGCGCGAACAGCACCGAACCAATCGGCGTGAACCGGGGTAAAACGCACCGATCAGGCCGCGCAAACTGTAAATGCCTTGTGCTCTGGGCACTGGCAAACTGTAAATGCCTTGTGCTCTGGGCACTGACAGGGTAAAAACCTGCGATCCAGACTGACGGACGTGAAGCCCATGGTCACGGGAGAAAAAGTGAAACAAAAGCACAGACAGCAAGAGTCGTGCGAATAAAAATGTGTTGTCTGAGAAAGGCAAGGGGAAGCTTGCAGTCCTTCAAGCTCCACTTTTTTGCTTTTCCAAAATTCGCACAGCATCAGATTTAATCATGAAGAACATGTCCATAAATAATTTACTACTGCAAATGGCCCACGTTGTCAACAGGTTCAAATGGCTCATCGGCGACCGCGTGCGTCGACCGAGCTCACACATCGGCCGTACTACGATCACACCATCAGGACGGATGATGATGCACCTCCAGGACGGTGCGCCCAAGCGGCGTGTGAATTTAGCTCAATGAAGGACACTATCTCGATGCGAATTAGTGGAAAATACGAGTGCACACAAAAAGTGAAATTGAAAGTGCGGGGAGCTCCGTATATCCGGAGAAAATGGCCGACAAGCAAACGGCAAGATGGATATGCGAAACACGCTGGTTGTGGTATGGATAGTCTCTGGCATCGAGAAACAGACCGTAAAATGGGAGAAAGGGGGGGGGGGCGACAAAACCGGGTAAGGACTTCACCAGTGTTCATTCTTATAACGGGTGCCCACTAGTACTGTGCATGATAGCAGCTTTCATGTAACCAAATGACCCAAATTGAGCAAGAGAAATGCAGAAATATAATTTTGAGCCGACGCTACCACGCGTGTTTCGTATTTTATTGTTATGTCTAGTCGTGCAAATGTTCCCTGATGATGTTGGTAGGACCAATGAAACGCCATAATATATATATATATATATATATATATATATATATATATATATATATATAAATATGTATATATATATATATATATATATACGGAGCTTTTGCGTAAGATTTTCAAGTGACATCAATGCACTGGAAGACAATGTATGCACCGCTCCAAAAGTATTTTAAATTGTCTAAATGCCCACAAAACACCGCGATGCCGCAGTTTCTCACCCGAAATCCCTGTTCAAAATTACTGTTCATAACCATTGGTGGTGATTCAACGAGTCCAATACATAATACACTAATTGCACATGCACAGAATCACGGAAGATGATCTAGTCGGCCGAACTAAAAGTTCTCAGAGCTCAAACTGAAAAGTAAACCCAATCGACAAAAACAACTGTCAATGTGTGGGGAATAGCAGAAATCAAATCTAGTTCAGAATGCAAGGCTGATACCACTTTTCTCACCTCTTATTTGCTGAGCCCTTCACTGACCGCAGGGGCACTGCAACGTCACTGGAATTACAACACAAAAGTCATGTATTTCAGCACTGCAGCGCTCGATTTCTGCATTTGGAACCGAAAGGACGAAGCGCAGATCCAGCAGATGCCAACGCATATGTCAAACATTGGCAGCAATACAGCCCCCTGCTGGAATAATCCATAGGAGATGTCTCAGGTGTCGTCATGTAAAACACCGTTGTCTGGAGCCTCGCCAAAAATCACCCACAAGGTCCACGTAAGTGACAGCAGAAATCACCCAAGGCGTTCCGTGAAGCATCACTGGAAACCTCTCACACAATCTGCTATTCGACAGCAAGGTTGGGAGGTTGCTGGACCCTCCAACATGGAATATCAACCAACATCAGTATTCACATGTTACATTCATGTCAGCGGGTTTTCGGACCCTGAACAATAAAAAACGACAACAAGCTTAAACTTTCATGCGCGAGGGTTAGAAGACAACAAAGCAGAAATGTTAGAGACGAAGGATTATGAACCACAGTATTCACTGCACAATTGGGGCTGTTAGCTACATGCAAGTCAATCGGGTGTTTCCGAGTTGCAAACGTTGTGCAAAACACCCCATTGTATATGCGATTAGGCATCAAAGCAAAACTGACAAATGTCCTAATATTTTGCGTCTTTGTGCGCACATAAGTAAATTAAAAAGCATGCAAATCTAAAATGTTACCAGCTTGCTATCAAACTAATCTATCTGCAACTAAAAATCCATCACTGAACAATGAGTTAGACGGCTCCGATCTACTGAACAGCCACATGCGTACCTAATGTGCCCGATCTCGCGCGCTGTCACAGGTGTGTGTTGGGGGGAGGGGAGTACCCGGCTTCATAGCTCGGCCCCCACGGAGACTACAGCGTGAGACACACGCTGTCACAGGTGTGTGTTGGGGGGGGGGGGAGGAGAACCCAGCTTCAGAGCTCGGCCCCCACGGAGACTACAGCGCGAGACACACGCTGTCACAGGTGTGTGTTGGGGGGGGGGGAGTACCCAGCTTCAGAGCTCGACCTCCACGGAGACTACAGCGTGCAGCTCTCAAGCGCATAAGGATGTGGTGCACGCGAGACAACACTTACGCAAGGCCTCTACCTGGGGACCCGGTCCGGCACGTCGGCGAACACGAAGGCGGCCGAGGCCATGGTGGCCACGCACAGGTCCATCTCGCGCGGATCCAGCGCGTCCATCGTGTCGGCCTGCGTGTGGTGGTACCAGAAGTAGCGGCTCTGGTCTGTGTCGATACACGCCGCCGGCACGCCCTTCTCGTTGAAGAGGTGCGCTTCCGACAACGGCGGGTCGCCGGCCGTGCGTGTGGAGTTGGCCAGTCCGAAGAGCGAGGTGGTGTGCTTGACGAAGCACTTGGCGGCGTCCGAGCCGGCAATGCGCAGGCCCAGCGGCCGGGACACGCCCAGGTCGTTTTCGATAGCAATCTGCATCTTCTGCACGTCGAACTCGTGGTTCTTGATGTACTCCTTGCCACCGTAGTAGCCCTCCTCCTCCGCCGTCCAGAAGACCACGCGGATGGTCCGCCTGGGCATCAGGCCTAGCTGCTTGAGCAGCTTGATGCTATGGTAGTTGACGAAGACGCCACCGCCGTTGTCCATGGCGCCCTCGCCGACGTCCCAGCTGTCCATGTGGGCGCTGAGCAGCACCATCTCGATGGCGTCAGCGGGACCGTAATCGACGATCAAGTTGCGAGACTTTCTCTGCGGCAGATTCGCCGCCGACATCTTCAGCAACAGCTCCACTGGCTTGCCTGGAACACACGGGCCGTCGGTCACCGCCGCCCGCCCACGAGATCAATACAATCACACGCGAATCACGCCAGTCAGACCAGACGCCATCGCAACCTTGCGTGACACTCGCACTCTAACCTGTAGATCTAGCTTGTAGATTTCGCCTGCAGATCTAGCCAGCAGATCTGGCTGTCAAACCGGAAAGAGCGCATCACTCCTACCGCGCCGTTCGACGCTGGCGCAGTTGCCCACCTTTCTTGAAGTGCCTCGCCATGATGTTAGCGTCCTCGGGCGTGACGGCTGCCGCCGGGATGGGCGTGCTGACGTTGTAATCCATGGAGCCCGTGTGGGGGGTGTTCAAGCTGAAGTCCGTGCGAGAGCGCACCAGAGCAGCCAGCGCTCCTAGCTTGGAGGCTCGGGCCGCACCATGCACACGGTACTCGTTCGACTCCCTGTAGCGGTCTATGGGAAGGTCCTTGGTGTCTCCAAACGGAGCGTTGAAGACGACAATCTTCCCAGACACCTGCAAAGTGGGGAGGTTGAGAATGGAGGTTTCCGTGTCGGCAGCCTACAGATTATCTCCTTTCCGAGCGACAACTTTCCGCACGTGCTTATCGCTGTGCCCCACACTTGGGCTTTCCATTGCGTCAGCCAGCATGTAAAAAAATGCAACACACGTTACCGCCACTAGCAGCGCCACCAACCACACCAGGAAATTCCAAGCTCCATCCCAAACCACAAGCTATCCCTACCCCTACCCCCGAGGCACACGGAACTTCCCACACCCACCTTGGCCTTGCCGGCCTTCTCCATCTCCTCGAAGCTGTTGAACACCACGGCCTCGGCCTTGAGCACACCTGCGGGGTACTGCTGCGTGCCGATGGTGGTGCCCAGGCCCAGGATGGACATGCTCTTGCGGCGCGGCCGCAGCATGAGCAGCGTCTCCTCGCCGCGCACCCAATGTGGCACCATGACCTCCTCCGTGCGCACCTGCCGATCATGAGCCACTTCATGAATTGTGCATGGTGCGTTCACCTACGCCGTACGTTGGTTTCACGTTTCTGCATGCTCTGGTTGCCAATATCTGACCTCATTCCTCAAACATGTCCGAAAGTGGCGAATCCATGGTTTGCACACGATTGTGCATGAGACTCTGCACATACGACCCACACTCCGCCGGCGCGACTGTCGCTTCTCTCTTCTGTCAGTGTGAGTCTCGCTGCGGCTCCAGGCCGCCTTCAACCTTTCCCGTTCTGAAGGCTTAACGTTTCCTTCCTTAACTGAGTGGGGAGGAGAAATAGTCGCGATATCGCCACGCCTCAAAAATACATCGCCTCATCAAACAGGTGATGTATCAAATGCGTTTTTGGCTGGGTTGTTGAAGGTAAAAAATTACTGGTTGGTTGACGGTAATATCCGCCCAGCCTTTGCCCTCACTCCTAGAACAAATCTTCCGCCAAACATGTGCTAGATTTGATTCAATGAACCAATTTGAATGAAATGGCGAATGTTTGACTCAAAATCAAAAGTGGATCCAGTCATTTCTGCCATTCAGCGTTGAATGCTACCGAGCTTGCGATGAAAGATAGATTTCAACGCGCCAACAAACATTCTAATTATAAAACAATGTGTAAGAGTTACCTGCAGTTTGGCATGCAACGCTCTTTAGAATCTAGGAGCCAACATAGAAGACAAGTCAAAATGACACACAAATAACTACGCTAATCCCGGATTTTGACTTCACTTTCCGGATTACAGGCATTTTTTGACACAACTGCCGATGAGGTAGCAGGGAGTCACTTACAGACTTTAATGGGCATGCACAAACCAAAATAAAAGGAGGCTAGGCAATAATTTTGCCAATATGTACATCTAGAAAACAGATCATAGTATTAGCAAGGCAGAAGTGCAGCAAAGCAAGCTTCTTCCAGATAACTTTGAACTAACGCATACAGTAAAATAATCTGTAATCACAATGACTATCACAAAACCACATTGTTAATGATCACAAATGTGCAGGTTTACGACATTGGCACTAGCTTCCGACAAGCTTTTGCAGACTAATGTATTGTGCATACGCATGAGCCGAACATACATTCGCGTGCAAATCACGTGTTACTCTCAGGCAGCTGAGTTCAATTTTTTTCTGGTGCCTATTGATACAACACAGTGGTGATGGCTACACCCAGGAAAAGCGTACCTACTCATCTACATTCAAGGTCATCACTAAGCCGTACCGAAACAAAGGGTCGGAACCAGCCAACAATTTGCCTGAATTCCCAAGTCATTGTGCACGGCGAAACGCATTCTTCATTCATAATTGCTCCATGTCGCGGAGGAATGAGCGGCGAGTTAGACTAGTGCATCGGCCAGCTGTAAGGAGATCCTTGGCCACACTGGGTCAGAAAAGGCAGCTGAACTAAGCAACTGGCATTGAACTGGGAATCACCTTTGGAGCCTGGTCTTATTGCAGGCTATCCTGGCGTCTGTTGAGGCGTGCACAGGCTCAGCCTTTTTCACAAACCCCAAGCACCAGTTCACAGCTGTTCACACATTCAGACCATTCACCCTCATCGACGTATACCGAAAACGTTCCAAATGTGCGGAAAGACTTAACAAGACAATTTTTGCCTAACTCAATGATTTTCGGCATTTCAATGGGCTCTTGTTTGCGAACGGCACCCGCACATCTCTTGCAACGTTCAACAGCATGCCAATAATTTACAATATCGCTCCGAAATACGCAAACCTATGAGTTACCTATGAGTTACCTAGTAAACCTATCTATTGCTAAATGTAACTGAGGGATGCGCAAAGAAAAGTGTGCTTTTTCACGCACACTACGCCTTTTGTTTTCTTGGCCTCCAAGAAAGTAACTTTGCGCATAGTGAAGGGGTCGCCGCTGTTCCACTACCAAAAACTGACCGAATAATTACCCGGTACCCGCCGCTAGGCGTGCTTGCTTAGTCTCAATAGTGTTGCAGTGATTAACTCTAGGTAGCCATAAATATAGTTGCTATATGCCTTTTAAAGCCCATGAAGGTACCTTACAGACACTTTCTCATTTGGACACTTGCAATATCATGTTTTCTGTTCAGCTGTTGATTTGAATAACCGCGATTCCATTTTTGATTCAGCCTGTATTTTCATGTTCAAGAAGCGGCCAGCAAAACAGAACGGTCCGAGTCAAAGATGAATTTCGCTCAAACCTGACCACATGCCTCTGATTTGAATTATCAGCTGGCTCCGATTTCCTTTTTGGAGGGGAGGGGGGGGGCGGCTAAAAGTCGTTTTAAATCATGCACAAGTCAATGACCACGAGTCTGTCTGTAACATGGTGCATTTTTAAGAGTTATACCATGTCATTAGCACCATTTAAGCAGCAAGACCAAGAACGAGAGCTAGGCAAACAGTTTATTTGCTTCAAGACCCATAACACCAATAAGCACCAATAAAGTACACGCCGGCAAACCTGTTGTTTCTCCCCAAAGCTTTAGGTAAATTCCAACATGAATATTGCGAGAAGTAAATTTGCTGTTTTCGTCAACATCTCAAACTGCTAGATCTATTTTTCCTAGCAGCGCTCAGTGGTGCTCACGGTCGATGCGTGGTGCACAATGATGAAATTTAAGTTTGCTATTAGCTGCTTTAATCTAGTAGTTGTTGCTCTGAACTATGCATTTCCGCGCCATTTTAAGTTTATCGTTGTTTCTCGATGATACCATTCTGGCGCACTGCGCGAGGCTGCTCTCAATCACAGGAACACCGATGTTTGCGGGTCATATTGCAACATGTTGACTGGAAAGCGAAGATGTCCCCCAGTCACCTGCAAATGCCTTCACTATCGTGAAACCTTGCCTTCCCAATAGGAAAACATTCCGAGAAGCGTGAGTAGCTTAGATGGCCGGTTAGTCTTTTGGCCGAATGGTAAGGATGAGTGGAGTAGACAAAATTCTGCACCAGAAGAAAACAATCTGCAGGCATATAGCAGCTATAACATTCATTTGTCTATAAAACGTTTCATAAAACTCTGATGAACTCCCCCGTACCCATCTACAGTTGCCGTAATCGCCGCTCTGGTGGAGTTTCCCACTTTTAGAGCATATCTTAAAAAAAAAACATACTCTGGTGCAGCCTCAGAACCAGCTACGTGTGGTAACAACAATGGGTAGTGCCAGAGCAGCACCGTAAAAACATGATAAGGATATCAATTTTGATCATGTTCGCTGTCATCGCTTTACAACAGCGCTACGCTTCCTTTCCTACAATCACGACCGCCGTCGTCACGACCGCCGTGGTATCTCTACCGGTGCGAATAAAAAAGTTTCCGATTGGCACAGCGGACGGCAAGCGCCTGTTACCGAAAGGACAAATTTGTAGAAGCCTGAACCAGGGTGGCACTATGAAAAATATGGCATTACCATTCCCAAAGTCAAAGTGCGCTTGGAAAAGGACTCGCTGTGGTAAACACCATAAGGGAAAAGTAATAAAGGCTATGGTGGCAACAGTTCGTTGAATTCTCAGCATAATAGCTTCATGTTCGCACATCTTTTTCGTAAACAAAGTGTTTACAACCTTTCGTAGCACTTATTACGCAAACAGTTGGACAAGTTAGTGTGTTGCAAATATTGCAGGCCACACATCCCTTGGAAAAAGCAAGACAAATGAAATGTGTTACTCGCATACTCGTGAGCGGGGAGTCCAAAGAGATCTCTCCCCTAGGAACGGCTACTTCAAATCGGAATTCTGGGCTATTTAGAACGATTTCAAAACAACTGGCATTCCTGATCAAATCGTAATGCGTCGTATCGTAATCGCATGATGTATCGATGTGCCAATACGTGCAAAGAGCGAAAAGGTGGCGTGCTCCCTTTAACATATACCCCGTTACTTGGATCTCATTCATTGCTTCCTTCCCCCCCCCCCCACAAACTCAGCAGCTGAATCCGCCATTGGAAGACATCCGCTCAATAGTCATTTCTTCCGTTGATTAATATGTCCTGTCACCATTCAGAACCAGTACGTGTGTGCTTTCTGGGGAGCGACTTTCACGAAAAAATCGGCCGCAAACCCATCACACGGATCCTCGGAAAGATAACATTCACTGATTGTATCACTATCCACACTGATTCTTCCACGGTCACCACCAATTGAAGTGATAACCTCCACATGGCCCTGTCCACAGCCACTTTTACGGTCCACCTTCCGGCAGCCCACATGCGAAGTGCGTGTAATTCGTGTCGCCTTGACACACACCGAGTGACTAGCAATCTGACGTCATCACCTTAACCCACGCTTAGCAAACATTCATGCCACCCGATCCTTCACGGAATGCCTAAGCATCTCTGACCTGACCTCGGCCCCGGTGACAACGCGGCGAGACACCCTCGGCCCCGATGTGGAGTACCAGGGAACGGGCCGACCCGGCGAGGCTATCTGTTGGTTATTCAGCCAGGTGGCTGAGCCGGCCGACTCCAGACCGCAGCTGACGCGGCAGGCGGGAGAGATGTTCGCACCGTGGACTTATGAGGCTAGCCTTATAAATACCGATACCGCTTAGTAAGAGCGTAGTATGTGAGCCATGCTCGGTGGCGATGCCTGAATACAGGTGCAAAGTTTGATGATAGCAAAACTGGTACCGATGCTGTTTATATATATATATATATATATATATATATATATATATATATATATATATATATATACGTGAACTATACCTCAACCATTCTTAAAACGCTGAGCGCGAGTTTGGTGCAGAGAAGTTTCAGTTGCTAACGGAGAGGCATCAGCATTCAATGCAAGCAGTCCAGGCTGATATTCCTGGCACTGGTAGAGTTTCGCCATGGCCCGCTAACCCAGCTCCGCTATCGCCGACACTGATCTAACGCCAGCAGTCCTGGAGCAGCGGTGTATAAATATGGCATGGCTATACCTGAACCCCGAGGGTCGTCGTCCTCTGTCACTGCTTAACAATGAGACATATCACGTGGGGAACAAGTGCTCGCTGCTTGCCGCAGTGCAGCTTCAACAGGCGGATTAGTAGCCCCGGTAAGGACACGGGCTGTGATCGCTGCAGACCAGTTCCCGACACGAGACGCGCTCGTACGTTTGCAATGGACGGCTGGTCCATGACGGGGCCCGACGTCGCCTGTCCGACAGGGGCATCACCTCAGAACGGCCTGGACCTGCCCCTCCTGAGACGACCTCAGGTTACGGGTGACCGCGGGTAATCACAGTCATCGCTGACACGTGCGGAACGGAGCGAGCAGACGATCCCGCACCCACCCGCCGGGTGTTTCCAACAGATGTTTCGGATTTTGCGATAGCGAGGCAGTTGGATTCGCGTCATACACTTGTTGTGGACAGAAATTTCTAACCACACGAGTGTACCAACCGCAGACTCAAGGCCATGCCATGCAGCTCTGGAAGCAGTGCAGCGCACAGAAGTGCCATACGGCGCAAGGCTTAAGTGACATCCCGCACGTGCACTGTGCGGATTCCGCCGTTTGAAAGAAGACCATCTTCTTAAATCTCTCATATTCGCGGTCATCCAAGGGTGGCACGGATATCCGTAAAAATGTTTATCACTCGCCAAGGTAAATCATGTGCTAAAGCTACAGTCACGCCCTTCGCGTGCAGTGCGCATGCCGACATGCCCCTCACCCCATGTTTCATACCCACAGCACCGTCATTTCTTCCTCACCACTCGGCACGTACATCGAGTCAGCAAAGCGTGCGAGCGCGGCGGTCTCGCGCCACTTTTTGTCGCGCGCCTGAGCCGCTCGAGGTTCGCGGCGGCGCGCCGCCACTGACCCTGAAGCCGTCCTGCCGAGCCGTCTGCTCCATGAAGTCGATGGCGTCCTCCAGCTCGTCGGAGCCGGACGGCCGTGCGCCGAACCGCTCGACGAAGTCGTCCAGCCCATCGTAGGCGGCGTGCCGGTGCTGCTGCTCGTTCAGCGCCGCCTGCAGTAACAGTCGAGTCAGCCGGCGGCGAACGGGCGCGACTGCTGGGTCCGTGTGAACAGCTGGTTTGACGGTTATAAACTTTCTTTTATTTAATGATTTTCAAGACAGACAATCCTTGGTGCCATAGCCCCGGAACGACTTGGGAAAAATTATTTGTTTAATTAAATTGTTTATTCAATTAAATATTATTATTTAGTTCATATATATGTATATATACTATAAACATAATATATTTTATAATTTAATGAATTGAACTTGCAACTAAGTCTACCAGAAAACATGCAGCTCGAGGCTGACGTCATCAGATTATGTACTGACGGACAGCCGCTCACATGAGATGTCAGTGGATGAGCCGCGGTGGCCTTGATGTATTGCACTGCAGGAACAGAGCGTTCGCTACACACCAGCACCCTCAACCGAACTTCCCGAGTTCGCCTCGTTTCTATGGCAGACTTCTGCACCCTTCGGTCAGAAATATCTAAAGCATTTGTTCTGAAACCAACCATGCTTTTGTTTTCAAGTACAACAGACCGCGAAACCCAAACGGGCCTTGGTTATATGGCCTCAGCAAGATGGCGAGAGCCGTAAAACAGATTCTTTTGGCCCCAGCTAATTCCATTTAATTTAGAGATGTGGTCTCACAGTCGCTATTCCATACCGATCGTCACGATCGATGTGGAGGAAAAAACCCAGTGTTACCGGCGCTGCAGCAAGTCTAGGCCGGCGGGTGTGCTTCCTCATAGACGGGCGAAGGTCGAGCGACTCTGAGCGACCATTCAAGTCAATGAACGCCAGCAGGCATTGTGCTCGCAGTCCAAGGGGCGTGCCATCCCACAGTCGTTTCCTCCACTGACTGAGCCATATCACAATATTTTGCCACATATTCGGTACACGAAAAAGGAGCCTACTCCGCAAAACGGTCGACAGGCTCGGATCAGGCAGCTCAGTGGTTCACAGATTGCATGGGGTTCTCGCTGCAGCCGACTCCCTCAATGTCACTGGTCAGTTCAGCATAGCACAGGGCTTACAGTCTGCCAGCGTCCATCACGCCTGGGTGCGCAAGGGCGACCCCAGCCACCCACATTGGGGCTAGAGCTTGACGTCATGTCTGACGTAAGTAGCGGACTTTGATCGGTCTTGCGGATTACATTTTCCGGTATGTGGGCGGATGCTTATATTCACATGTTCTCATGTCATGTTCCCATGTTTAAAGCGAAGTTCATCAGTGAGCAGGCTTGGCAGAGAATCTCAGCCTGGACTCGCCCCTGTTGATCCTCCTCTGCACGGAAATTGCTGCGTCATATGTGGTGTTTGATCGCGTACATGCCTGTGGGTACCCTCCGTGAAACGGACACGTCCTGCATGAGTGGAAATCCGATGTCAATATTTAGCTTTCCGGTGTTTGGGACTTGCACATGAATGTGGAAAGCCTCCCCCTCCTCCTACTCCTCCCAGTACAAGACAGTGGCTTTGGATAGGGCATGGATGCGTGCACTTATCCAATTCGAAGTTGCATTTGACCACTGCTTCGCGACGTCCCTCGCATTAACATCGCTGCGAGACAGCAAAGCTAACCTTCCAACCATCGGGTGTCCCCTGCTCCGATTGAACCAGTCCCGAGAGGTCCACCACTCGGAACAATCGTCAATCAAACGGTCCGCTGCCGCTCCACGTGTGAGAATCTCCCGTGGTCCGGACACGGCGCGCTCAAGCCAAACGCGCCACGCTGTCGCCTCTGCGCCATCACACTCCACAGGAATGGCTGGCCTCAGGGCGCTCCTATGCCAACTTCGGCATCTTGGGTTGCAAGACTATGACTGGAGAGGACATGTGTAGGCGGGTAAAGGTGTCTAGATGAAGTTGTCTACGCGCAGCCCACGTCGGGTGTACATTAAAACCATTACACAACTTTGGAGGCCCACGCCGCGAGCTTGCAAGCTTGGAATCACGCAGACATGACAGATCGCTGCTGCACGGTTCAGGTTTCGTACGGCATCGGGAAATGCAGGGCTCGAAGGAAGTACCCAGTCATGCTTTACAATGTAGAGGTTTCTTCCAGCATGATTCCACAGCACGTTCAGCGTCCGAGAAGACATCTGCTACAGCTACCTTCCGTGACGAACGATGGAAGCCAATCGCGTCCGCCGCTTCGCCCGCCTTTTGCGTGTCATGTCGTTGGGAAAGAGCAAAAGGGAAGAACAAACCATGATGGAGCACAAATCGGGCCGACCTTGAGACTCCTCCGCCGAAACGGGAATACTCGGCTGCTGGTTTTCAGCTCACACATCAACATTCGTTATGGCTACCTACCGAGGGAAGCATGGGGCAAGGTCTGGGTGAAAACATTGTGATTCTGAAAACGTGCGACTTTTTCCTTGTTAAATTTCAATTAGGATTCATAAAATAAACACGGCAGGTTCTTTCGGGTCTCATAAACTTAGACTGATCCTGAGTTGGACATGCCTGCAACTTGCTTATTTCAACAGCGCACTGAATTGCATTATCACCCGTTCTGCATGATCACCCACCTGCATGATCTTGTCAACGTCATCCTGATACTGGAGGATGTTGTTCTTCACCGAGTCTGGCAGAGCGCAGGAGGTCTGGGCGCTGGCGCGTGTCAACTGGCTCGCCGCCACCAGGGCCGCCAGGAGCGGCAGGCTGTGCGACCACCTCGTCATAGCCCTCGGTTGCGTCTGCCGGCAGGGAATGAGGCCTCCGCTCCTCCGCAGCCGGCGGTCTCAAGGTCACTGCCCGCCCGAGGCGACGAGCGAGAGCCTGGCCGGGCTTCCGCGTACGAGCTCGGCAAGGATTGGAGGCGAACAGAGCGTAGCGGGTGGAATGTGTGCCACGTCGTGCGTGGATCGCGTGGCATGTGTGCCAGCGGACTGTGCCAGTCGGCCACTTCGTAGTTACGTCGCCACGTAACGACCGCGCCGTCCTACCTGCCCTTCGAATACGTGGGCGGAGGAATGCGGCGCTGAGGCCGCAGGCGGGTTATGCTAATGAGCGGCGCCGTGAAAGACGTGGGTTTCCCGGGCCTCTGCCTCGACAAACACCGGGAATCCCCCCGCCGGCCCGTAGTGTTTCGGCGGCAGCGAGAACCGGCCGATCGCGCCGTGGTGGACTCGCTCTGTTGACAACCGGCGGTGAAGCGGCGCCCTCCATGCTGACACGGTCCGGCTGCCGGTCAGTCCGGTTTACTGCGAAAAAGATAACATCGTGCCGGGAAGGCAAGCGCCGTAGCCAGCCTCTAGAGGCGCCGTTTCACAAAATGCAGTGGGGGCTGAGCGGCGAGAAACGATCAACGTACCTCCAAAAAGGCCAACAAACGGGCTTCTCCCCAGGTTTGGCCCACTTTCTTCCCAAAGTTCAGTGTCTGGAGCCCAAGTTGCGGAGGGGGGGGGGGGGGAGGGGAAGGGGTGAAGCCCTCTCTCCAACTGAATAGGAAGCTACAGCCCTGTCAGCCTCCGAACTGCAGGTGCGCACATCGGGAGCGCCTTGTTGTATGCAGGCCTCTGTTGTTATGGCCTTAGTGCATAGCAGCTCTCTGCATATCTACGTCATGCCGTCAGTCACACCAAGCAGGCCAAGGGCTGATCTAGACTGCATTGCAAGTAAAATAAAGGTCAACGGGTGTGATGAGCGGTGCTGGTTGGTATTCAGCCGTCTTTTTCCGCTGGTCTTCACAGTGTCGGCCAGTCGGTCAAATGCCGGCCAGTTTCGCGTCCCAGGCTTTCTGGTTCCGTTTGACCCGCTGCTCTCATATGCTCTCACGTTGACCTCAGGCTGGCAAGCCACGCTTGACCAGGAGTATCTCGAACAAACTTAATTATATTAGCGGATTCCGTATAGGGATATTCCACGATAAGTGGACAGATCAAAGGGCCAATCTTACGCCTTCATCTTTCTGATCTTCAAAACAAGGAGTCGCAGGGGTTGTCAGCGGTACCGAAGTCGCTTGCGTCAATTTCAGGCCTTTCAGTTGAGCGGTTATGGTGTTGGGCCTCAAGCATTTCCGTGTTGTGTGGTTGAAGGGCTACGTTCGGCGGCGATTTTTTCCCTTACGGTGTAAGAAAACCGTGCAAAGTGTCGACATGATTTATCGACTTTCCATATGGTGTCCGTGTTGTGGTAGCAAAAAATATCGACGGTGGCGTTATGAATATTTGCAATCCACGCACAATCATTCTCCTACGCGATTTGAACCTTTTCTCATGTGATATAGCGAAGTTTGAACCTCATGATCATTAATAGAAAAGGCAGTTGGTTATCGGCTTGGTTATCAGCAGTTGGTTATTGGTTATCGGCTTGGACAGGTTTGGAAAACAGATTACAATGAGGGACTAAGCTTCATTCGCGCCATCCACCGTCGGCTGCCGGCGCAGTACCCCCAACGTGCCTCTCCGCCCATGCACCGGAAAATGAGTACTTTGTGAGAGAGCAGTAAGCTTGAATAAGACAACGGCTCGCGTGCACGTGAAAGTCGACTCAGTGTGCCGGTGACTCAGTTAACTCACTCTAACTCATCAAAGCTACTGAAATGAGGCGACCGTTACTTCACCCCCAACGCCTGGAACAAACTCACGGACAATGAGAGTCAGAGCACTCACTGGGGTTACTCTGCGAAGCCGAAGTGTCTCCCTGACAGTCTTGGCCGCAGCCAATCTGATACTAGGCTCATCTTCTGCTCGAAGGACTTCTCCTTTTGGTACAAAGGAACATACCACCTGCGGATTAGCCCTGCCCAGCAAATACTGGCATAGCTTATCAGCAGAGGGAATACGGTCGAAATGGAGACGCCAGAGGCTGGCACTGGTAGCAACCTTTTTTAAAGTCCCCAACTTCATCGCAAGAGTTCTTCCCATGGGACATGGCAATGTAATGCCACTTGCACTTCCCGCCAAAGTCCTCCTCATGAAAGCAAGTGTTCAAAGAAGTAAATCTGGTCTTGCACTGTGTACCTGATTCATCTCAAAGCAAGATATTTGTTCATTTTTGAAACAAGACTTTTCACTTCCGGCAAAAGATCCTGTAGACATGTATGAACCGCATTTGTGCTATGCTTCATCATGTCTGACAGCCCGCAACACCTTTTATGATCAATCTGTCCAGATTCTGGTCACTATACCACAGAAGGATGTAGCGCGCATTGCGGTGCAAACCAATGAGCCATTGAATTTCGTCTTGGGCGATAAAAGTGTGGTTTTCTGAAAAAACTCTTAAAAATACAAAAAGATCAAAGCTCAATACTCGGGTAGCCATTTTAAAGGTCGTTAGCAAATTTACCCTGGCGTTGGGACCTAAAGAGATGCCTGATTACTGCAACTGTGGCTTATGACAATTTGATCAAAAACTCATCCGTTGGCAGACCAAGTTCGATTAAATTACGGCGGTCGGTGCTCACCCACCGGCCAAATCCAATTTTACTGATCGAATCCAAATTGTCCTCTACTTGCGCATTAATTGCATCAATCAAATTAGATCACACACCATTCTAAACGCAGACAATTCACACACTCCCGCATCATGCAGGATCCCCTATGAACATCACATACGGCATGACTCAGTAGGTCCTTTCAATACGTGCTCGGATGGGGGGGGGGTGAAATTGGCCCCCCTGAAGGTTTTCCGGAATGGTTTCTGAACGGCGCGACGTAGCCGCGCCAAATTTTGCTTATCTATAGAAATTTGAATAGCGGATCGTCAGGAATAAAAAAATAGATGCATCTTGTGAGGTCGCTGACCTATGGCAGGTAAAAGTCAGGTCATGGTTTCAACGAAGGCAATCGCTGGGGAATCGTTCAATCTGATCCAAGAAAGGAGTGCTAGACGAAATCATACATCTCTGAGATGCTGCCTTAGGCAACAAAGCAATTAAATGAACATATCACATCGTTCTGGGTCATAAATGAAGGTCACACTAAGGTCAAAACTAACCTGCTTTATCATTCTAGGGCTTTCTGTACGGGGTGGTTTCTGGTGCTCATTTAGAATCTATTGATTACAGGAACCGCATTATGCACCTTCGATGGACGTCTTAAAGGTCAGAATAGGTTACTGACCTAAAGTGACCCAGGTCAACTTTTCATTTCTAGGAGCATCCTGCCTAGTGTAATCTTTGTCGCTTGTTCGAATGCAGAACTTAAAGCAGGCTTGGTCACCTTGACCTTCAAAAGGTCAAGCAAGGTCACTGACCTTAAATGAGCGTGGGAACTTTTGCTTAGAACGGGCTATCTAGGTTCTAGGGGCCCTTTGGAGACCAACCTGGAATTTTATGTTGTTTTACCTTATTTGACCCAAAGGTCATGACTTGGAACTTCAAACTTTGACCTGAGTGAGTTGACGTACAGGTCAACACACCCTGTAAATTAAGTGTATCTAGCTCTCTTAGTTCCTGAGATCTCAGGGGGGGGGGGGGATCAAAATGACCGTTCACTCGAACGAAGGGTACCCAGCCGGCCACCCAGGCGCGTGTTAAGTGGCATCTCGCGTGTCAACAGATCCAACCACCAGCTCCGCGTCCTGGTGATAATAGCACACGCAAACTACGTGCGTGCCGCTGATATCCATCAAGACGCAGTGCTCGTGGAATAACAGCCTCATGCTCGCGTATATCTAGTTCCGAACAGAGTTTTTCAGGTTTTCGTAGCAACTATTCTGCCAGCTTTTTGCCAATTAGCATGAGGCAAGCATTACAGATCACACCCGTTGGAAAAGCAAGGCAAATGAAAGGCATTGCTTCCATAGTGGTGCAGGGAATCCAGTGAGATTTGTCCCGCAGGAGTGGCTACTTCACATTCAAATTCTGAGCTTTCCAGGATTTCAAGAAAACTAGCATTACCGATCAACTCGGACGTGTCTGGTCTAACAATAAGTGAAAGTAGAAAACGGATGGCATGCTCCCTTAAAACCTCGCACTTGACCCGCTGCTCGTCACTGTGAGAGCAGGTACATTTAATTTGCCTTGCTTGTTACGTGTTTGTTCTGTAATGTTTGCAACACCCTAATGCACGGGTGTCGATTTGTGATCTTTTGTGGGGGCCCTGGCCCCCCAATGTTGAGTTGCCCCCAATGTTGGCTTGGCCCCCAGTGCTTTTGGCTGGAATACCACAAAACACGTGGGTAAAAGATGATCATAACAGCTATCTTCTTGGATCTTCTTGCGTAGTGGCGTCTCGTAATAATCTCATAACAATAAGTCGTGGTTGCTCTCACCACGAGATAAAAATCGTAACAGCTGAGCGGATGAACGATGCAATCAACTTCACATACCTAGCGCCACAATAAACGCAATGATTTGTGAGATTAAAGTGAAAAGCTTCGGAATATGGGGATGACCTAAGCTCTTTGTGGCTAACCCTGTCCCCGTCCTCCACAACCAAAGTGTGTGTCGCCTCCCATGACCGCCATAGAAGAGCGCCATCAGCGCCCTAAGGTGGCCTCTAAAGGGGCGCCTTCACGTGCTGATCAGAAGAGACGCGTGCGTCCAGTGCCTGTTCCCTGGATCCAGCCCTGCATCACTGCTGTACTGCTTAAATGAATGACTTATAATTCATACAATGATTAAGAACACATATTGTGTTAAATAAAAATGAAATGGGCTAAATCCGGTGAGAAAAAAAAATGGGGAAGGTTGCCGAGCCTTTGGTTCGGGCCGCCAAAATAATTTACAAAAATTGACACCCCATTCTAGCAGGTCTAAATATTTGTGTAATAAATGCTACGAAAGCTTAAAGCACCCTGTTTGGACAAAAAATATGTGGACATGAAGCTATCTTCCAGCGAATTCAACGAAAC